AGAGCTTACAGAAGAGATAAATAGAGCATACTGAAACAAAAGGACAGCTCAAAGTGGTTCTCACAGCTAGAATGGCTGGATAAAAGAGAAGATTGTTTAGCCTGTCTTTCCTCCAAAAATCCGCCATTTTACCACTTTTTTTCTGTGGCGCGTTAATTAGAATTGGTTAAGTGCTAAATAGTCATCATGACTAAATAGTCATCATGACTATTGATAGTACCCAATAAGTATGTCGGTCCTACTTGCCATAGGTTGACATAAAACATGTTGTTACGACATATTAAACACGTTGTTACGACGTTTTTATGTCGTGTCGACGTAAATCACGTCAACACGACGTCATAAGGTAGGGATATAATTTTGAAACATTTGGCTTGCCATACGGGCATTTAGGGGCAATGCCCGACCAAAAATTCTGACCGGAAGTGTGACATCACCATAATTAATAGTTATGCTATGGTTAATTAATAGTTAATAACAGTTATTGCAATTATAATTTCAATTTTTTATGAAAATTATTCTTATAATTATGAATGCATAAATGGCAGGTGATAACAAGGTGATGAAGAGAGGTGGTAAGACTTTGGTGCCAATCACAGTGGGCCACCACAGCAATACTAGAAAGCATAATCATTTCATTATTTAGTGCTATTTCAGTGTTCTTTTCTTGTCAGTTGCAATGTCTAAAAGCCTGGACTAGCTTCACTATGTCCTTTGTGAACAAGCCTGCTAAAAAGGAACAACAGTTTACAAAGTGAACCTAGTAAGTACAGTATAGAAGTCAATAATACAGATTATCTCATAGTTCTTACTTTAGGTCAGTCTCTTGCTGAATCAGTTGATGATCATGAGTCTCAGTCTACTCTTGTGGTTGATACAGCTACAGTTTTTACAGCTACAGTTGATGTACAGTCAATTGTGCTCATTCTCCATCACCCTATTCTTCTAATTCCTCTACTAATACTACTACTAGTACTATTACCACTACAGAAGTCAGTGTTGGAGCTACACCACCCACTACTTTATTACAATAACCTTCGCTACCAAAAAAATGGCGCTAAAAAGGGTGCGTAAAAGAGGGTGTGACCAAAATCGCTTCGCGCGCCCAACCCATTTCCTATGCCACACCCATGCCCGACTAGTAGTCAAATCCTGCAGCCGCCTATGGTGAAAAGCAAGTTATAAAGTGGTAGCATCCAGCGTCTTATCATAGGCGGCGGCAGGATTTAAGGAGTAGTCGGGCAAAGAATGGCGCGCGAAGCGTGCCGCGATTTTGGCCACACCCACTTTTCCCCACGTATTTTGGGCGTATACTCAACGCACTCATACAATATGGTATAGCATAAAAATGAGCCTAAAAGGCCCCCTATCTTATCTGTAAAGCTCTATCCAACCTGTAAAATGCTAGTCCTGGTCCTCCTGGAAGGCTTGTTGACAAAGGAAAGCAGAAAAGACTCTCTTGCTAGCCATGGTAATTATTTATGACTAAAAATGATGTCATTAATTAAATTTTCATTTCCGGCCAAAATTTTTGGTCGGGCATTGCCCGTTCATGCCCGACCCTGCCGCCGCCTATGCGCCTTATTGATTCTGGAGAGGCATCTTAGTGAAAGGTATCCGGGTAATATGCTACAAGTTTGTCTGGATGCCATGAAACATGCATTTCGGTTCAATTTTATTGTTGTTTCATATAAACAGTATTTTTGTTGTTGAATTGCACTTTTCCCTTCTTCCTTCTCTTTTTACTGGTTTCATTGTATTTTATAATCATTATAAGACATTTTCAATA